AGAATGGATCAAAGGCTTAAATCCCATATTGACAAAATCAGACGTTTTGGTTGCTTGGCATATACAAGAGTGCCAATCCCAGAGTCAAAATTTTCAGAGAGAGCAGTCAAGACTGTACTGGTAGGTTATACCAAGTCGGGTTACATACTCTGGCAATATGAGACCGGCAAGTTTGTTATCTCCAGGCACGCGAAATTCAATGAAAAGATTGTGTACAGAGACATAAAGAATATTAGGAAGTTTTCACAGGAAAGTAATCACAGCAAGAACTTTGAAAGCCATTTAGAGTTTGAATCAGAAAAAAAAGACTTAGAGACACAGAATATTCCAGAAGAAACTGTGAAACCTCACAGAGGCAGACCAAAGAAAAGAAAAGAAACTCAGACGATTGACTGCAAAGAACCGAAAATTAGAAAATTGCCAGATAGAAAGGCAAGAGTAAATAGACCAACGTGGTCGCACTTGCGACTGGCTGAGTGTGTTCCAACATCAGAAGAACCAAAAATAAATCAGAGTCAAGCCAGTGCTGAGAATACAACAATTGAGAATGATGAGATTAGTCATGCGCTCTTAGCTATGACAAACAAGGATCCATCAAGTTTCAGAGAAGCCATGAACTCAGATGAAAAAGACAAATGGCTACAAGGAATTAGAGATGAATTAAAATCAATGGAGTCAAATCAAGTGTGGACTATAGTGGATAGGCCCGCTTACGATGAGAGTGGAGCAAAAGTCCACACCATTGACTCAAAATGGGTTTTTAAGAGGAAAGTAAATTCAGATGGAAAAACAGTCTACAAGGCTAGATTGGTCATTAGAGGTTTCAAGGATAGAAAGGAGTATTAAATCAGAGAAACTTATATGCTCCAGTTTCCAGACTGTCAATTGTCAGAACTGCATTTGCTTAACAGAGGCGTAGATTGCTAGGAGCTCTCTGTCGTACGTGCTGTACCTGGCCTGCGTGGGGTCTAGCTTGTGTGAGAAGAATTCCAGAGGGCGCCACGACTCATCCGGTTGAAGCTGCTCCAAAGCCGCGCCGATGGCTGTGCTCGAGGCGTCCGTGCGGAGCGCCAAGGGGGCGTCTGGGGCCAGGAATGTTGTGCAAGCGGCGTCAATGACGCTGGCCTTACATTTGTCGAACGCCTGGGATGCTGGTGTGGTCCATTTGAGCTTAGCTTTTTTGGGCAGGCCCTTGAGCAGCTCGTTGAGAGGCGCCTGCAGTTCCGCGGCGTGGGGGACACACCTGCGGTAGTAATTTATTACTCCCAGGAACCGTCGAAGTTCGGACGCTGTGGTTGGCTTGGGAAAAACTTTGATGGCTTCTACCTTCGCTGTTGGTGGCCGGCAACCTTCTGACGAAACCTGGTAGCCCAGGTAGATGACCTGAGGTTTGCCGAAAGTGCATTTCGCCAGGTTTACCTTGAAGCCTGCTTGCTTCAAGACGGTGAACAGCTGGCGGAGGTGCTGAAGGTGCTCCTCGTGCGTCTGTGACGCGACGAGGATGTCGTCGATGTAGGCCTTAACGAAGGGAAGCTTGCGCAGCAGCTGGTCCATCGTGCGATGCATTGTTTGCGCGGAGTTTCTGAGGCCGAGTGATGTGTCGAGGAACTCGAAGAGGCCGAAGGGTGTCGTGACGGCCGTCTTCTTTACGTCTCCGCTGGCGATGGGCACCTGGTAAAAAGCTTTGTGTAGGTCGATGACCGTAAAAACCTGACCTTGGCTCTCTTGTAGCATGTCCTCGATGATCGGGAGGGGGTACCTGTCTGGTACTGTTATGCTGTTTAGGCGGCGATAGTCGCCGGTGACGCGCCAGGAGTTGTTGGCCTTGGGCACGAGGTGCAGTGGACTAGCCCACTGGCTGCTGGATGGCCTGACGACCCCTTGGTTTTGGAGCTCGTTGATAGCAGCTTTGGCCGCTGCTAGTCGCTCACCGATGAGGCGTCGGGGGCGCTCGAAGACTGGTTGGCCGCAGGTGATGATCCGATGTTGGACTGGGAGGCAGTTGATGACCGCTGGTGCGCTGCTGCACGCGAAGACGTCGGCGAATTCGCGCAGCAAGGACCAGTAGAGGCTGGCAACGTCAGGGTCGTCTGGTCCCAGTTGTTTGATTGTCGCAATCGAGTGCAGGTTGGTGTCGCACAGGATGCCCTGGACAGCCAAACCTGTGAGCGGGTTGATGAGCCGCTTGTGTTTGAGATCTGGGAGCAGACCGTGTTCTGCCAGGAAGTCGGCTCCGATGATGGCCTGGGCGACGTCGGCGATGATAAACTCCCATTGGAAGTCTCGACGTAGGCCCAGGTTGAGGTTGATCTTCCAGCTGCCGTAAGTGTGTATGGGCGAGTGGTTGGCCGCATACAGGGTCAATGCCTCTTGTTGGGCCTGGCTGAAATTTGGCGGCCGGGGCAGGATCGACACTACAGATCCAGAGTCGAGTAGGAAGTCGACCTTGAGGTGGTGGTCTCTGATAAGCAGACGGGTTTCCCCTGTTGGAAGGGTGATCTCCGCCGTCTGCGTCGGAGGCAGCCCTAAGCGTTTCCCGTTGGTTGGGTGGTTTGTACCACGAAGGTGCAGGGCTTCTTGCAAGAGTAGGCGTTGACGCCGAACTTCCTGTGGAAGAAGCACCAGGCGTGAGCACCTGGGGACTGGTTCCGTCCTCCGCTGCGCGACCTGTCCCGGCCTCTGGCACCTCCATTGCCCTTGTTGTTTTTAAGCAGTTCGAGCAGTTGTTTGTTGGTTGTAGAGAGCTGCGTGATCATCGCCTTGAGCGCGGCGATTTCCTGGAGCAGTATCTCGTTGTGCAGTTGGTGTGGTGGGACAGGCGAGGCGTATCCTGAGGAGACAGGCGAAACACCTGCGAAGGTGTGATTTGTTCGCAAGAACGAAGAGTTGCAGACGAGTTCATCTGCGGCCTGTAGTAGTTCGTCGAGTGACGTGGATTTAAAGATGCGCAAGAAAGGTTGCGCCTCTGCAGGTAGCAGGTCCAGCCACTTGACCCTCAAGCTGTCGTCTGTGAGGCTGTTGCCAGCGAGGCTTTTCATCTCGCGGTACAGCTGTGAGGGCTTCTTGTTGCCCAGTGACAGTCCAGAGAACAGCTTGTGCAGCTGTTGGTCCTTGGAGTCAGAGAACCTCGCAAGGACGTGTTTCTTAAGGTCTTCGTACCTGTTTTCTGCTGGTGGTGCTGCGAGGATGTCCGACAGCCCGTCGACGATGATTGGCCCCAACGCTTTGACGACTTGAGCGTACTTCACATCTTCGGAGGTGGTGTTGTTGTTCGCGAAGATGAGCTCGGCCTGCGTGAACCATGTGGCAGGGTGTTTAGGGCAAAACGGAAGTAGTTCCATGGTGGTCATGAGTCCAGCGCTGGAGTTGACGCGGGAGTCTGAAAGGACTGGGCTGGGCGCGGGCGGGTAGCTGTGTGTAATGTTGTCGTTAGCCGGAACGTGGTCGACGGCAACGGCTGCTGCGTGGCGCTTTTCGTCTCTGTGTACGTCCGGGGATAACTCGGGAGAGTCGCTTGACCTGTCGGCCGCCGCGGCAGCGAGGGCAGCGGCAGCGTACGCGTCCGGGTAGAGGTCAGCGAAAAGCCTGCTTCGCAGCACGTCTCGTGGCTCACGCGCGTCAGCCGGGCGCGTTGGAGTGGTGTGTGTTAGCGCTTGCCAGGAGTGGGGGACTGGCAGCAGGTTAAAACCTTGCAAGGCGGTGCTCTCGTTGGCAGGAACGGGCTGCAGGTGGAACCTTGGCAGCGGTGGATCGACAGGAGACGTCTGCTCGACTGTCGCTTCCGTGTCTAGCCACGTAAATTCCGTTGTTAATGGAGTGCGAGGTTGGATGCCACCCAACTCTTGTAATGGCGGCGAGGCGGGCACAGAGGGACTCACGCGGGCACGTAACGTTGCGGCCCGTGTAACGACGTTGGGCTTTGCGCGTGGTCGTAGTTCGGTTCCAGGGCGGGGCTGTGCCCTTTTCACTGGCCCTGCTGCCCGAGACGTTGGCACTGGCGAGCGCCGGCCTCTCGACGGCGGGACGTAGCCTTTTGGCGACGACGTCTTGCCCACGTGGCGAGCGGGAGAGCGTTAAAAGATGTCGGTGCGCGAAGAGTTTATTCTCGCCTCGGCTCAACTTTTCATCGCGAACTTGCACTCACGATAAATAAAACAGTTCAAGGGGTCACCACTTGTGGGAAGTATTGTTCTACACAGCCAAAGCTGTGCTACCACAAGAAAAGGAGCACGAGGGGAAATAAGCACACGCGACAGATTTTATTATGAGAATACAAAAGACTTTATTTCGTTATGTACAATCGGACTTTTTCGCTCCGCTCACGTCGAGAGCTATAAGTAGAAGAAAAATGTATAGCGCCGCGCGACTCTTCTCCCTCAGCTGTAGGGCACCGGCAGTGGGTGTGTGAGTTGGCTCGCGCGTGCGCAGGAAATGATGTTCCTTGGGACGATGGCCTGCTTTCGTCTTGAGCGCGAAACTGGTCGCTGTGGCTGAGACGCCACATATACACGTCCAAAATAGTGGTAAAATCAATTGGGGATAACAAAATTTTTTTTTAAATATTTTTTTTAAGCATTAACTCTAATCGAGTTGAATCGACTTGAATCGGCACATTCCGATCGACTTGAATCGGCGTTCATATACTTAATCAATCAGTTTCAATGGGATTTTGTGGTATTAAGATTTACTATTGGAACCGATTGAAATTTTTTGAATTAACTTGAATCGACTTTTTATAGCAGCCTGATCAGAAATTGTACCTTCGCTGTTACGCGGGCCTAGCTATAGCTAGGCTTAATGAATGCCTACACTGGAAAAAAGTTGGTCGCCCTGCGCCACCGAATACAGTCACGCCGTGCACTCACTTTCTTGGTCGCGCCGCCGCATGCCTGTTTTGGGCGCGCGGCGCACCCAAAGTACCTGGCGCGCGGGACAACTAAAATTTAGATGCGCGGCAGCACCAGCTACACGTTCGGCAGTACGCCCAATATTTAGGACTGCTGTCTGCCTGTTTTATTTTAAAAGAGGTGATGTGGCTTAAACGCTGTGCAGTTAACTTTTGTTTATAATTTAATGCATAGTTGTAAAAATTAGTGGCAGTATTTTTGTTGTAAGTGTATGTGTATATCTCCCAGGTAATATACCAGTGTACCTCACGTATACGCGCTTACATGCATGCGTCGTAACGAAAATTTCCCAGTTAGCCTTATCAACTCTCTTGCAGGAGTGTGTACATCTTGAAAAGCTGGGGACGGCACGTTATTAACTATACGTTACGTCACTTGTAATTAATAAAACATTAAAAACACATTTCAAATAGCGAGAAAACTGCAATCATTACATGATTATTGTAATAAAAAACCGTATTACATAATTAAAATACGTCTTACTAATAAAAAAAAAATTGTTTAATAATTTACTGTACGAATTGAAAAAGTGCTTAATGCTAGAAATTAATTTTATTAACATTATTACTAATCACGCAAGTGATTTTTCACAATGCTAAACTACACAAGCTAATAGCATTATATATTCATAAAACAGGCAGACAGCAGTCCTAAACATTGGGCGTACTGCCGAACGTGTAGCTGGTGCTGCCGCGCATCTAAATTTTAGTTGTCCCGCGCGCCAGGTACTTTGGGTGCGCCGCGCGCCCAAAACAGGCATGCGGCGCGACCAAGAAAGTGAGTGCACGGCGTGACTGTATTCGGTGGCGCAGGGCGACCAACTTTTTTCCAGTGTAGCTAGGGCTGCGTAACAGCTAAAGTACGATTTCCGATCGGGAGGGGACCCTTAGTCCTCAAAATGGCGGAGTTCATCAGTAACTTTCGGACACTTCAGCCACACTCCAGTTACCAGAGAGGTCATATTAAATGGTATAGTACTTAAATAATAATAAAGTTACTCAACTGAGAAATGGCTGCGTGCTTAGAGAACGTTCAAATTGCAAGTTGCCTATGGTTTGAGGGTGGTGACAAGAGGAATGCCTTAGCTTCCATGGTTGCTGGCACTTTGGTTAGTACTAATGTTGATACAAAAGATTGTCTGGTAGTTCATTAGTTTTTCAACTACAGTATATATCATCAACTTGTAAAAATGCGATATTTACGCATTATGATGTTTGGATGAAAAATAATTTGTTGAATAGCATAGTTTCTTTCAAAACATTTGCTCTTGAATCAAGGTAAACTATTAAAAAAGGTATTAATCAGTCTGACTTTTTTTCAGTTCTTTTTAGGATGGTGGTTCATGATTGATGCCCATACAAAATATCCTGATGATACTTCCAATGGCTATCTCATTTGTGGCATTTGCGGTACATTATCCTTACTGATGTAAGTATTTCCTGTGTATGAATCCTACTAATTTCTCTATGTGCCCAATGAGTCCACTAAAATTATTCTTTTCTAATGTAAGGCATGTTTTTTGCATAAAGATATATAAATAATTTGAATTAAGGAATGATAACGAATTATAATGTAAACTGGAACAATAATTTAATAAAAACTAGTACATGAACTTAGGCTTAAAAAAATATCAATTTCCGACTTGTATCAAAATAGTAATCTTACAATAGATTTCAATTATACGTGAGTATTAGATGCTATAAATGATTTGTAGTTGCATAAAATCTAATTGGTATACAAAATTAGTTGTAGGTTGGTACCAACGTTGAAAAATTCTATTATTTTCTAGGGTCAATTCAGTAACAAACTCACAAATAAGAGGTGATGCGTATGATGGTGGGTGTCTAGGAGCCAGAGGAGCCAGAGGATGGCTCTTTATTGGTTTTGTAATGGGATTTGCTGCTGTTATTGGTTCCTGTTGGATTATGTTTGCTGATTATATTTACAATAATGGTAAATTGTTCTCGTGTTCTTGTTATGTATTCTAAATATTGCATGTTGATTCAGCACAGTTCTAAAATTGTAAATTTATTTAAGATGCTAGACACCTTTGGCCTGGGTATGCTCTGTTCTTGCAAAATTTGTTCATCATTATTGGGTCAGTAACATATAAATTTGGCCGCTCAGAGGACAACTGGAGTTGAACAGAATTAATTTTATTTGATTACTTATTCTACAGCATCATAAAAGAAATGCTTTAAAGTGTTTTTGTATAAAAATTTAAATCACCTCTTACTTATATGTATGTACACAGATATGTTTGGAAAACTTAGTTTTGTAAGTTCTTTTGACAAACTCAACGGTTCATGACACTTACCCTGGATTGTTAATAATAATTTATTCAACATATGTCATACGCAATGCTTTGGCTAAATTGTTTATGATTATTTTATTTTGAATCAAAATACTCAATGTTCAGCAATGGTAGATACACCACTATAAATAAAATTAGATAGAAAAAATAAAATTTAAGTTCTAAAATTCGTCAAGTTAATACAATCATTAATTTCCATTTGTAATCTTAACAATAATTTGAGTATTCAAAACAAGATGTGTTTGGTTGCCTAAATTATTTCCTTTAAATCCATAGAATAATAATAAAGAGCAAATAAAAATTAAATTATGCTAGTGGATTGTTATTAAATATTTAACACGCTATAAAATAAGGTTATACTAATACGAATAATTCGTTTTAACAAAAATTAAACAATCAGTAGGTCCCACTAATAAATAATACATGTTTTTGCTTAAAAATACTATTACAACCAATAGATTATTTAGGCGCAGATTCATTTTATTCAAATAGATGAATATGGGAACAGCTAAACAAAATACTAATTTTTCCGGATGGGTGATTCACTTTGTTACTTAAAAAGTTTTTGCTAAGGTATTTTCACTTGTGACGTCATTCCAAGATGGCGCGATCACTGGGTTTTTTTTTTTCAAATTTGCACCAAATGTGCTAAACCAGCTGTGAAATTCACGAGGACGTCCCAACTAATGATAATGCGTTTAAAAACTTCAAGTTTTAATAAGCTATCGAATGAACACTAAACTTTTTACATCTTTACTTGGTAAGCAATGCAAAAAAATGAATGAAATTATCGCGGGCATAAAGTTAATTAGAAAAACATTTTATTTTTTGTGCTTACCATGATCCAGATATAACGAATTTGAAATATAGTCAATAGCGATTCTCGATGCATTAGAGGAAATTTTTTGTTTGTTTGCCAAAAGTGTAGTTTTAATGAAAATCAGTACAGAAAAAAAAGTACTGCAATCAGGCGGATTGTACCCGTCTAGTGTACATATATATGGTTGCAAGCCTCCTCGCCTCCGCGATCATAACAAAGTCCCATAACCTCTGACGAGCTGTCAAAATTGAAGCAGTGTGTGGCAAAAACATGAACAAAAGTTGTTGTATAAGTGGTTGTCACGATAAATCTGCGAAATCTTTTTTTCGTATTCCATCTGTAATGTCTCCGGATAATAAAAAATCCAAAAGTATCAGTGCAGAGGATTGAAATGAAATCATTTCTTTATCTATGAAAAGACAACAACATTTCGCAGATTTATCGTGACAACCACTTACACAACAACTTTTATTCATGTTTTTGCCACACGATAGATTTGTTCACCTTACAATTCAGGGACGGTCGGGGACAGTCTGGGCGAGTCGGAGACGAAAGTGAACAAGTGCTCTTCTCCGATCGTCCCCGATCGTCCCTGACCGTACACGATGCGCGGTTGTACACGTTAGGTTAGGTTAATGCAAAAAGTAAACAAACTTTTCTGTATTTGCACTTCTTTATTTACAAACTATTGTTTATATACAACATTAACCTAACCTAACATGTACAACTGCGCATCGTGTACGGTCAGGGACGATCGGAGAAGAGCACTTGTTCACTTTCGTCTCTAACTCGCCCAGACTGTCCTCGACCGTCCCTGGATTATAACCCGAACAGAAATTGAGTTCAGGCACTAAACAGGTCCTGGACAGGTGCCTGAGTTGCCTGCGCAGGACCTGCNGGACGATCGGGGACGATCGGAGAAGAGCACTTGTTCACTTTCGTCTCTAACTCGCCCAGACTGTCCTCGACCGTCCCTGGATTATAACCCGAACAGAAATTGAGTTCAGGCACTAAACAGGTCCTGGACAGGTGCCTGAGTTGCCTGCGCAGGACCTGCTCAGGCATTAATGGAATTTTATCCAACGATGTGCACAGGACCTGCTCAGGCTCCTGCACAGGCAGCCTTAGCTCAGGCAACCTGGACAAATACAATCTAGTCCTGAACTGACTTTTACACAATTAAATAGTAAGGTTATGTTACATAAAAAAATGTTTTTAAACGGAAAAGTTGATTTCAGTAAAGTTTTATGGGATAAAAGTAAGCTGGGGAATGTGATATTGCAACATTTTTTAAATTTTATCCATGAGGCTATTTGCAATAAAACACTCTCTTTTCCATCTCCGAAGTTGTACATACAAATCACGAACTTCACCAATATTGACACTTGTTTTTTTTTTTTTTTTTTTTTCTTACGCACTGTCATTAGTTGTGTTTAATTCTTCAAAAATTTCTTGCTGAATATCGCTCTAAATTTCTTGCTTATCAAACTGTACAGCTGAGTTTTCACTAATATTATCTGTAAGTTTAGCTTTTTTTTCATTATTTCCATTAAATCTGTATGGTTTTCTTCTTTCCGAAATTTTTCTTTAACGAATAATTTACATTCTATATTTATTTCGCGTCTTTCGTCGAGAATAATGGTTTTGCTCCATTTTAGATTAATTAAAAAAAAGGTTAAGACTATACTGTAGTAGCAGACAGTTGATGTCAGTTCAGGCAAGAGCACCGGACCTGTTCAGGAACTGTGCACTCACATATGCATAAAATGCCTATCTTGCCTGTGCAGGACCTTCACAGGCAGTCAGGCAAGCTACGGCAGATTTCTATTCGGGAAGGTGAACAAATCTACTGCTTCAATTTTGACAGCTCGTCAGAGGTTATGGGACTTTGTTATGATCGCGGAGGCGAGGAGGCTTGCAACTATATATATGTATACTAGACGGGTACAATCCGCCTGATTGCAGTACTTTTTTTTCTGTACTGATTTTCATTAAAACTACACTTTTGGCAAACAAACGAAAAATTTCCTCTAATGCATCGAGAATCGCTATTGACTATATTTCAAATTCGTTATATCTGGATCATGGTAAGCACAAAAAATAAAATGTTTTTCTAATTAACTTTATGCCCGCGATAATTTCATTCATTTTTTTGCATTGCTTACCAAGTAAAGATGTAAAAAGTTTAGTGTTCATTCGATAGCTTATTAAAACTTGAAGTTTTTAAACGCATTATCATTAGTTGGGACGTCCTCGTGAATTTCACAGCTGGTTTAGCACATTTGGTGCAAATTTGAAAAAAAAACCCTGTGATCGCGCCATCTTGGAATGACGTCACAAGTGAAAATACCTTAATACCGCGATCTCAGGACTTGGTGTACCAGAGATGAGTAGAGAGTTAGAGACAGAGACGAGTAGAGTAGACTCATCTTTAGTATTTTACGACCTGGTTGGCTGGTCCTTGGGTGTAGAGCACGAAGTTGTTAGTAGCGTTCTTCGTCCAACAGATGGGGTTGTTTGGGCGGGTTCATTGCCCGGTGAGGCACGAAAGTGTCAGGCCGCGGTCAGGAAGGTCTCTACTGCTCTGGAAGTTGGTATCTAGGTGCTTGTAAGCTCCTGGTACTTGGGCTGGTATTGGGTCTCTTGATGGGAAGCTCTTCTCCAAGAACTTGTAGAGATGACGTCTAGGTTATCAACCTTGGTCTAGAAAATCGTTTTTTGACGTTCGGACTACCCTGGCTAAGCGTAGAACGTATACAGAGGCGTACGTGCCTTTTGGTTTATAGGGGAGCGCCAAACTGAGCGTCTAAAGCTCTGCAGCAGTCTGGCCTCAAAGTTTGACTGTCTCTCTGCCTCCCAGTGTTCGTATTGTCAGTAGAATTCCATCGTCATAGGTTTGGAGATAAAGTTGGCTTACAAAATGCGTAGAGACCTTACAATGCGACTCTACTCACTCCACGCAATTTGTTAGGGTTGCCAACTTTATCTCTAAACCCATGACGATGGAATTCTACTGACAATACGAACACTGCTGCCTCTTGGTGTCCATCCCTTTTATACGCTTCTCCGCCTCCGGGTCCGGTAATGTGGGTCTCGCGTGTTGGCTCTGCAGATTGTATGGGTCCTGGGGACTATGCGTCAGCTTGCAAGTTTGCGTGATTGCGTTGGGGTGCGGGCCGCACCTTCTTGACCTGGATAGGCTGGCTGGGTGCGAAGCTGAGTCAACCTGTATACAAATTCTAAGGGTGCGGCTTCTTGGAAGGAACGTTAAGGAATGTGACTGAGTCAAAGTTTGCATGAGGGCTTCCAGGAAAGTACGTGCAGAACTGCAAGTGTGTCAGAGCTCGCATGAGGGTTTATGGCTTTGGGAAGGTTGCACGTGCTGGAGTCAAAGCTTGTGTGAGGGTTTATGGCTTCGTGCAAAAATGCGAATGAGTCAGAGCTTGCATGAGAGCTTATGACCTTGTTGGAAAGCGTGTGCAGGAAGGTGAATGAGTCAGAGCTTTATATATGCATTGATTGTTCCTTTTGAAACAAATAGATCAAATATCGTCTCCCAAAGATTCAAAATAATAGTTATAATAAGGGAGTTTCCGTATAGTTCGTTTTCTATTAATTAATATGTACTAAAGTCGTCTAGTATTATTAGACATCATTTATTGTTATTATTTTATCATCATCATTGCTGTCGTTGTCATTGTTATTGCTATTCTGTAATGAAACAGCATTTTAATTTTGGTGCACATTGCTCGACTCCTGAGGTCAGTACGGTCGGTAGCGCTATTATCGTGAAAAGCCCGTATATCTATATATATTGGAAAAATACACCCTTCGATTGATAATACACAGAGCTGCATGGCTCCTTATGTACACTAGAAGAGAGATTGCTATCGCAGTTATACTTCTATATGTATATATTCGCTACGTGCACAAGCTGAAGAAGCGATCGCAGCAATACCTGTGCTAATATGTGAAACTAAACGATATGTTTGTCTTCTGTTAGCAGACTGCTAAGCATTACTATCATTAGAAAGTTGTGTGTTTATATATCGACAACCATTCTAAGGGTTAAATTTTTAATAAAATAATGAGTAGTATGTACACATTATACTCATGCATGTTCATTAAAAAACGCAATAAAATACATTGGATACTGTGTATTTCTTAGAGTTTTTTAGCTGGGGCCTGATCCTCTAAGCGTACACTGAAAAAAATTCTCTACGATTTTGGCTGAACACACCACCATCGTTTCAGCGGTTCGGCCAGTGGTATAGTTGCTGCAATACTAAAACAGCAGTGTGCCAGGCCGTTTTGGCTTGGCTCGTCTGCTATAGTTACACTGCCGCCACATACAGTCTGCTACATAGCCGAAAGTGCAGTGTAAACAAGCCATTCAGGAAGTGCATGCTCCAGGA